GCTCAACGTCCCACAACTGGTTGTTTTAATCCGACTAAAACAACACGACTGTAATTTTCGTTTTGTTTTATCATTGGTTTTTTTGTCACCGCACATTCATTATTTGATGGTTAAGTTGATGAATAAAACAACAAATTGTATTGAATTAATATCAAAATTCTCACTACATCATTAGAAGCCGCTCCAAGTCAGTCATCCAAATATACCTTCGACCTACACTCGAATCAATTGCGAGCATCCAGGACACATTAAAAATAAAATAAAACCCAGTGTAAAATGTGTGTGTGTTTACTGTGTGAAGACTAATGCAAATGGGTTTCGAATGTTTGTAAACCGAAGTTTGTAATAACACGGTTTTTTTTCTCTCGTATGTTCGAGGGAGTGCTTTTTTGGCACCCTTGATGTGGTTGCCTTCCGAAAGCAATACCTCCGTCATTGGAAGAGAATGATTTTATTTATTGACTTTGATCGATAGACATGGCCAAGTCTAATATGACGAAGCGCGCCTATCCGGAAACTCTAAGTCTCCGGCTCTGACATCAAGGAGCTGGAGATGTTCATCGCATGATTGTTTGTTTAATACCATCAGCTCACCTCATCGACATCAGTTACGGCGGCGCCTGCTGGGAGTCTTCTCCTAAAAAGCAGCACATTTTTTTCCACGCTCGCGCGCTGCCGAGAAAAAATAAAAGTTTGACAAACCCTTCTGGAACTAATTTAAAAAGTTTTAATTAAATCATCGCGGTACGGGTTTCTCGTTGGTCCGTATTGCACAATTTCAATTCAGCGAATTGCAATTCACAAATTCGCAAATTCGTTCGCTTGTTTTCGAAAACAAAAGGTTATCTAGGTCGGAATGACTCAAGCGCATTGACGGCTCAAACTCCGGCGCGCCGGCCGGCCGGCCCACAAAGTATTATTTATTTGCTCTGGGGAGCCGCGCCACCAAGGGGGCGACTAATAAGGGTGAGAGATGTGGACGTGCGTGCGAGCAGACGATACTGGTAGCCCGCGCGCAAGTGTAGTTATAATATACTTTTAACGCTAATGTCGTGCCGACTTGGGAGAAGGGTCGCCTTGGTTGCGCTCGAGGGGCGCCCGTATTAACAGATGGACACAGACACGTATCATGGTAGCACCCACCCTCAACCCCACACTCTCCAAGTTAATATATTGTTCATTTTGCAGCCGGCGTAATTCACGCCGCACTTAAAACAATTAAAACCAATTTTTTGCCGGCCGCATATTTCGCGTTCAATTAATTCTCGCCGTTCGGCGAAAAAATCATGCAAAAATCTGTAACGAAAACATAAAAAAATTTAAATTTTCAAACATGTACGATTTGATTCTGCGTTTCAATTTGCATTTCGAATATTTCCGTCCACTTAAGCGTGTTTCTAGGTGTAACATCGTACCTACGCAATGCCAATGTGTTCAATAATAACTCTGGCTGCTGCATATTTGGACAATTTGTTCGTGCGTCGAGATAAATAATTCATTTTTCGGCAGTTATCAACGTAGCGCTTGCAAATCCCTCGCCGACGGCGACGTGTTTCAACGAAAAGTATGGTTTTGATGTCGATACACTCGAAATTCCCATGATTATTTTACGCGCCCGCAGTACGACCATCCGCCGTCAGTAATTAATTGCCCGGGGCCCTGGGGCGCGAAGGACTCCCGCTTAAGCCGCGCGTTAATTGATAGGTTTTCTAATAACTAACAGACACTAACTAATGCGACGCGGCGGTGCAAACATGTCGCCGGCGTCGGCGTGGCAATTAGACGCTTTTCAACCTTTCGATTTAATTAGCGCGTTGATTGTTATTAAGAAACGCTTGCGCAAGACACGACGCGCCAACTTCCGCGCGGAAAATCCTCAAGCGCGCAAGCTCACTTTAATTAAAATTAATTTAATACAATTCTGGTCACCAATTTCCTTGCAGTTACGCACTCGCTTGTGAATATGAGATGCTACTCTAATTTTACACAAATTAACTTCGACGAAAACAAAAATTATGCACGCGCGGATTTAATTAAAAACGCACCGAATACCTACCGAAAACAATGAGACGTTAATATTTAAAATGGCGAACTTTTAATGGAATAGATAAAACTGTTTGCCGAATGCAAAGTTTGCAATTGAAAATTGAAAACAAATGCATTCTAGTGTAAACAGTGTAGTGCATGTCTCGACTACTTGACTTTTATCACACGGAAAACAAGAAGATGATGAGAAAACATCTGTTTATGTACATAAACTGTCGCTTGTAAAGAGCATCAGTTAGCTGCTGCTTGTGCCGCTGCACACACCGTGTTTGTATTGAATTTTTTTCGTTTACAAAACTCGATTCGAAAATATTTGTATCTCACTGGATCATCGCATGAGGGGCGGCGCGTCCGCTAATGAAACGCATAGTGCGCGTTTGTTTTAAAAATAGGATGCCACGTTAAATCAATCAGCGAGTTCGTTTATTTAAGTCGTCCACATGTCGAACCAAAGATAACATCTTAGAGAAACTCAGTAGCGGAACGAGTCGGATATTGGGTCGAGTGTGAATTAATGAATAGCTTTTCGACGCTGCGCCGCATGCTCATGTGAAATTCAACCCGCTGGTTAGGTGCAGCGAGATTGCACCAAAATCCCACAAAAAAAATATACGCTCATGCTAAAATCATTGTAGCACATCATGATTAGTATATTAACGTATTCTTTCACGAGTCGTGCACACACGCCAAAAAAAAACCTCAAGGCTTTCGGTAATGCGGAGAAAACAAAAAAAGCGTACCGAGTTAATTTTTGCATTAATTAATCTCCAAGGGACTCCGAGGGAGAAATCTCGCCCGCCGCGAGACTAAACGGCCGCAAATTCATCCGTGCACTCATGCATGCGCCCCCGAATCGCAATCTGCGCCGACATGCGTGTGTGCTCGTCCGTCTTTTGTCTCTCGGACGCGCGCAATTCATTACGCGGCGGAATTTTTAATTAAATAAAACGTCCAGCCAGGTGGAAGCTGAGGCGCGGATTCCGCGCGCGATGACGTCGGGGGCGGCGGCGAGTGGGGAGCCAGGTTGTTATGTTAATAAACTGGATGTTTTTTGCAGATTTTGCAACGGCACGTTTATTGTCCTACAATCCTTCAACATTTCCACACGCGCAGTTGGCGTAATTAAAATACTTCCGGGGAAATCATCTTTACCTGCGCATACGGTTGACTGTAAGTATTCTTTTATCTTATTACAGTAAATTTTCGTGAATTCATGCTGTGTATTTACACGTTATTTACATGGAATTTCTATAGTATTTCCTGGTTTTTTGATAGTTGAAAATTTTTATTTAGACTTCTGACGATGAGCTATGCGTGTCTAAAAGCAATAATTTGGAGCCTTAGGATGGTAAAGTCGTGTCGCTAAATAGTCGAAAAGCATGTTGTCGACGTGCGTTTATTGGATTACGTTCAATTTTGTTATTAAATTAGTAAATTTATCAAAGGTCGTTTTCGACGAAACGAGTTTCGGTCCGACGCGCGGCGCGAAGAGCGATTTTCGGCAATATCCGCTCCATAATCGTTTTCATTTCCTAGGGGCGCCTAAAACTCTTCGCGCGCTGGGCCTCGAATTGCGCGTTTGGAAAACGAAACGCGCCGAATTATTAGACATTAGTAAATTGATAAACGGCGCGCGGCGGAAACGCATACGCTCGGCGAAATTGAATTCGGTGCGGCGAGAGTTTTCCGCGCGCGCGCCTCATCTTTGCGTGCGACGCTTCTTTCGATTCTTCCGTTTTGTCAATTTCGGCGCGCGGAAATCGCGCACGTCGGAGGAAGCCGGTTTAATTATCTCGAGCAGCGTGCGCTCGCTCACCCACACCAGGGATCTGGGGGTGGCTGTCCGCAATGAAATCCATTCGGTGCTCGCAGTTTTCGGAAAGTGTTTGAGCGCCGCCAGGGTTCGTTTGCTGCATTATGTCGAGGCGCACGTAATACCTGCGTGGCTTTCTTTGTTGTTGGCGGCCGCAAGGCGCGCACTTCACTTACGTCGCAATCTGATTCATTTGCATCCGCGTGCCTGGCGTGTTAGATACATTCGGCGGCGGCGGCGGTGTTCGTTACCTATCCGTCGACACGTCGCTCCGAAAGTCTGTGCTCCTATATATGAAAATTGAACAAAGAAACGCCGCGGGACGCGAAGAAAGCGTCTCTGCCACGCGACTGAAATTTATTCAAATGCGAATTACGGCATTACACCATCCGGGGATTATTATTGGAGCGATTTTAATAAAATTCGCTCGCGACGCAAAGTCAGCGTGCGCAAAGATGTTTAAAACATAAAAGAGATTTAAGAAGTTGGAAAATACGGCCCGGATGTTCAATTACTTGCGTATTTATCAGGCTTATAAGTTGTGTTTATCTTGGAATTTTGGAATTTGAAATTTTCATTTCTTTGACGCGCCGCGAGCGCGTGTGCCAACTTTTTCGGGAGTTTAGCAAACAAACGAAACTCAAACGAATTTTCCACCGTGCATGCGAAACCTTCATCATATTTTTTCGAGCGCCAACTTTCGTCACATGTATTCCAATTTTTCCACGCGCATGGAGGAGGAAAAAAACTTTACGTTTTTTGCTTATTCCCCGCCACCTTCGACGAATTGCACACAGAACGACGATTTATTTTTACGCTGCTTTCGGTATTTTTCTGCTCGTCGCTGGGGCGCAAATTTCGCAAATATTTTGCGAAGACCTTTTTTTATTTGCGTTATTTGTTACGCCATTCTTCATTTTTTTTGCGCGTCCTGTAATCCGCACGGAGTGAACCAAACAAAAGTCGTTCGATCGTGTGGTCGAGCCGAAAGTAATAATGCGAAATTTGCATTTTCGTTGCATTTTTATTGCACGAATTGACCATGAGCAGTCTCGAATCAAGTCGAGTTGCGAGTTGCAACTTGAATGCGAGCAGACGCGGCAATAAGTCGGAAAAGTCAAGCGCGAGAGATAAAACTTACCGCCGAATACGCTGCCGAAGAGTAGATGGATGTACGCCAAGTGCAGCGCTATCGGTTTCTTCTTCTGACGACGACAATTCTTGCGTCGAAATTTATCCATTCTCGACGTCGGATGTCCGCGCGGAGACAACAGGACGACGCGGTGAGGAGGAGGCGGCGCCCGCTCAAAACTTTTCCGCAACTTTTCGATCAACTATCAACTTTTAACTTGTCTCCGTGTGCACTTGCTCAAAGATTCGACTTCATCTACAGTTTGTTTCTTGCGTTTTTTATTGTACTTTTAAAGGTCGAATAATTATCGCACAAAGTTCACAAAATCAGTTCAAAAAAACTTGTAGATGTGTTACACCCCACAAAAAAATTAATCCAAGGGAAGAAAGTTTTTTTTTCGGCAGAAAATTAATTTTATAGCTGGTTGGTTTATGATTTAAATTTGGTGTAGATTTTTTAAATGATGCACACACACACTGTGAAAATTGTTCAGCGATTTTCCACGCGCGTTCCGGCAGTTGGCAAACTTTGCAAAACTTTCGAAGCGCATAAAAAGCGCGCGATTGACTGTGTGAACTGGGGGATGCACAAACTGGCACTGGCGCACCGTCGGGAGTATCGGGACGTCCACCTCGGTCGGCGTCGGCGTCGCGAGTGTCGTTTCCCGTGCAGAGCAACAGTGTGTATCGGGGGAGGAAGCGCTTTTGAAACGGCGGCGGCACGCATGCGTCGCCCCCTCGCGCTTTCGCGTTGCGCGATTTGGTGCCTCACGCGCACCGTAATTGTTTTCCTTGTTTTTTTTTTCTGTTATTTATTTAATTTTTTTCCGGCTTTTTTCGAATGCCATTTGCCGAGCGTAAAGATTTATTACAAAACAATAGAAGAACATCAAAACCTAATCATGCCCGCCACGAAACCATACGCATTTAAGAGCAGCATTATTTAATTGCTGGCATGCAAATGAGAACGCAAATTGAATTTTACTCAACGCTTTTTAGCAGGACACAAGAACAAAAAATAACAAAACATAACAAAAACAAAGGACATCTGGTAATGGCAAATATAGTATTAAAATCGATGGAATATTCGATGTGCAAGGATCCCCGAGGCATTGTCAATTCAGCATGTTCCACAAAGATATTTATAAAACGTGAGTTTTATGATGCGCTTATCATCGCATGTGGAACGATATTAAACGTAATGATATACCTAGTTGATTCTGATACTACGGCGTATTTAGTATTAATACTTCAAAGGCTAAATTTTGTCAGAGCCGATTTCCCACAAAAATATAAGCAGCAATACGCTGAAATTCTCGTAATGCTCGTTAATGGCGGTTTGTATTCACCTTAGCGTCTAATTTCTCTGACCTAGATATTAATTAGGTAATTGCGGATTGTCCCTAAAAGCAGCAGCATCTTTTTGAAAAAGGAACAAAGATTTAATCTTACTCCAAACGGCTTTTCATGCATACAGTATGCATTCATGGTTGCAACACATACTTATTTAAATATTCCAATTACGTTGGTGCATAGCAGGAAGATTGCATCTGTTGCGCTTCATATTTTATGTGAATTTCCCCGAACACGCAAGCAGCATGAGCCCGCTTGTGGTCAATCACTTTGCTAACTGCACATAGAGTGCGATTATAATCCTTTGTTTGTTTGGACGATTCGGTCCAGTCTCGCCCTACTGCTTAGTGCTTTGAAAATCATTCGTTACACGCTTACTGATTGCTTTGTCATGATTATACTTTAAACTCTTTACGCATCACGACCACATAAACACTTTTAAATCGGAGTAGCAATCAATTTTTTCGTCACTAGTTTTCGCGTTTTTGCCGGAATTTTTAATTAAGAAAAGAAAATTAATTTTTGTTTGAGAGAATTGAGATATTTCAGTAAGAAAAAACCAACAACAAAGTAAGTCTGAAAATGTGAAACAAACATTTTAGATAAAAGTATGGTTTTATATTGTACGAACCGTGAATCGACACCATTCTTTAACTTTTTTGTGAACAGAGTAGGTACCTACTTACATAATTTTAATAACTTGATCTATAAAACCTATTATTTATAAGCCCTTTGTTCAAATTTCGCCGAAACAGAATTAATACCAATTCAATAACTACTTCGAAAGGATGAATAAAATCAGCGAAAATTACGACTTACACGACTTTATAGCCGATTTGGCGTTTCCATTGCGCGCAATCCTCCAATACACCACTCCAACGTCGATGGCTCTCGCTATTCCGCAGATTACATTATCGCAATTAATCCACTCAAATGCAATGCCGGACGCGTCGGCGAACGCCCATTGTTAATCGTTTTTGTTCCGTGAATCGCCTGCCACATCATATATCGGAAAACAAATGCCGCAAAACGCACCACGCAAAACCCGAAACCTGATACGGTCGTAACGTGAAACCCTACACGTACCTAATCACGGCCATTCACGGAAATTCCATTTAGCCATTGCCCAAAAAGTCGCACTCTTCAATACGAGGACGAGCTGACTCTTAAACAGCCTGTATCCGCTTTTGAAATACAATTTATCGCCTATAGCGGCCCAAGAGGCTTTAATTAAACACACGTAATTGACTACATACTTACGATGAGGTCCTGCCTGTTTTAACAATTAAGTGGTCAATTAAAACGTCTCGTGCACATGCCGCAGCGGCCGTTTTGTTATTGCAATCGGCATTGTCACGTCCGTCATGCGGACTATGTTAACGGGTTGGTCCCGGGACAGTTTGATGGCGGCGGCACCAATGTGATTTGCTATGCTTTATTAAATTGCCGCACGTTCTAATTAGGTTTAAAGTTGTGTTAAATACACTTTTATGGTAGGAACACCTACTCGCTTGTTGAAATAGTAGTTTTTATCGATTTTGACTTCGTGTTCTTCAGCGAACATGACGGGGGCATGTTAAACATTTATCGTTGAATGACACTGCATATTTCCTGTTTGAAGCGCGTTAATATTTAATTGCCATTCAGTGGTTGTAATTATTTCCTCTTTTGAGAGAAAAAAAAAACGTTTTACACAATATCACATGTGGTACTTCTGAAAGATGTAAAAAAGCATATTTTATGTTTTGTCCTTTGTAGCGTCTCTGTCGAGTTTTCAAGGAACTGCTCCTGTTTTAAGATATTGGACAACAATATGGTGTGTGTACCACATCCTAGTCCCAAAATACTATAACCCATGACCCTGTAACTAATCCAATTGTATTTTTTCCTTGATCTTTTCAAGCATTCATTGAACAACTTTCTTTCTATCGAGCACATGCCAACACAAAAGTTAGTCGAGTCCGCTACGATTATTACGCTGAAATAATAAACAACAAAATACTTTCTTTGCTCGTATAAATAATTAACGTCACTGCCAAAAAGCATTTTCCTCTCGATGTATTTGCTTCCAGCTATACTTGTACGTGGTATCAATTAGGCGGAATGTTTTTGTGATTCGCCTTGGGCCATCGCACGTAGCAGACACTCCCTCGCTGACAACCTGAGTTGAATAATTTGTGCTTTGTCAAAGTTGGAGGGACACTTTTTCGCGCTGTCTTGCAGACGGCTTATAAACGCGTGTTTGTCGAAAAATATTACGAACCTTGGATCATTTTCCGCCGGAATACACTGGACGCACGCGCGGTAGCGCAAGTAATTAAGTGGGCGGAGCATATTGAATCAAACCGATCGGAAAAGTGATCCCAAAACGTAATTGAACACTAAATAATTTATTTATTCAATCAGCTATGAATGAATATTATATTCGAGGCGAAAACAATAACAATGCCCGTAATCATAGCGAGGCTCGAGTCTCGAGGCGTTTAATTGTTACAATATTGTTTGTAAATTAGTTAAAATTAACATTTGATGAATGCGAGGGATGCGGTGCGGGCGAGGGGTGTACATTTAATAGAATTTCGGTTCGCATTGTCGCCGGCGTGCATGCACGTGCAGGGCGCGGGGACGGCGCGCCCGCAAACCGTTCACCGCTCAACGCGTTCGTGTTGGTCCCGCCTTCGTATGCAACGCGGCCGAGGAACACGCGCACGGGCCGGAAATATGTAACGTATAGTCGTAGTAGGTGTAGGAAGCATAGAGACTCGGGGGTGTAGGTAGGCGCGGGGCGACGACACGGCGGGGACGGCGCGCCGGTCGCTCGTTATCATAAATCTCGATATAATTCATTAAGTCTCGCGTGCCGCGCAATTACTCGCTCCTTATTACATACGTTTACGGTCCGCGCGCCGACGAGCTGGGGCGGAGGCGGGCGGGCGCGTGAACTTACGGCCGCAATAAATGTGCGACAGTTGCGCGACGACCGAAGACTGCGCGCGATTTGGAGCGAGGCGTGCGGAGCATGAGGAAGGTCGGGTTGGGCGAGTACTTGGCCCGGGCTCAGGGGGTGGCGACTTCAGGCACGATGAACACGGTGATCACGACAAAGTCGCGTCGAGCTCGGGCCAGGAGTCGTACGTTTCGAGTGCAATCACGATTGCACCCTCTTTCGCTCGTGCCCTGCCAGGCATCGTATGTTATGAACAAATAGGAAAACGATTAATGAACAATTCGATTCTGTAAATCCCAATTGAATTTTTCTTATTATATTCCCTCGTGTACGATTTACGACTCCCCCAAATAACACGCACACATTGCTCACCAAAATCATCATATACAATGTGTTCAAAGTATATTTACCAAATAATTACTTCATTTCAACTTCGATTTCTAATACAGTGTAGATCACCTGCAAGCACTTTATTAATTATTATGGGACAAGACTGGAATGGAAACGTCAGTTCGTGTCTAAACAATCGGGGTGCATTTTAATTACGGAAGGGTCGCGACGTCAAGAAACGCTCTGTCAAGGAACGCTGTGTACAAACAGGCGCACAGTTCATATTAGCATCCCTAAGGATGTAATATTTCGATATTACAATTTCGCCCACCCCCGAGCGTACAATAACGCGACGCACATCGTAATCGTGTCTTCGGGAATTAATGAAAACGGAAAATTAAATATCGGCTAGCATGCACGTTTGTTCGTGCGAAAGCAATGGGGTTTCCCACCATCGTATGTGTCCCGCTTCAACTCGCTTCATAAGCGAAGGGTTCGATAATGCTCATTCAATAAGGTTGCGGCCGTGTGCGATCGTCCACACCTAAGGGTCGTAGCATGCTCGCACTAACTGGAGCGACATCGCATAGAAGGGCGGCCGAGTGCATGAATCCTGCAACAGTTTGCTCCAACTCTTCCATTCACGAACAACTCCAACAACACGGAACCACACTGACAAATTCAATTTGCGAATTTATTTATCATCCGGCACATTCAGATCAAGTGTGTGTGCTTAAACAATACAAACTGGCTGCGGTCGCCCAGCCACACGCTCCAAATGATTCCAATCTTGTGCGGTGGCACCAGGTCGTGTATATTCGATTAATATTTGCAGCGGGCCACCAACGAGAGAGTTTTAGAGGAAATCTAGTTTCTTTGTGCAAAAACACGCTGCACGCATGAAGATGGCAGATAATTTCGAAATGCTGAAACGAGCCAGGAGCAGAGGAGCGAAGTACGCCCAGAAGTTTCGGTTCCGGACGATTGTTGGCACTTAATTGCATAGAGGTATC